AGGAGAATTTTTAAAAGGTATAAACACTTCAAGGATCTCACGCTACTCTGCCACCAGAACAAATAAAGGGTAAAAAAGTTGGTAAGAAAAATTCCCACCCAGGAAACAGTAAACGCATCAGTTCAGGCTGGTGAGTGCCGACACGCTCCCCAGGGGGCGAACGGCAAAGTCCCAAACAGCCCCTAAGGAATCGGCTGAAGGAGAAAAGCACTTCGTAACTTCCGCACATTAATCGATCCAAATCGGTCAGTGACGTTTCGCCGTACGTCAGGAAATGGGTTTTAGCAACTTACTTTTCTGCGGCTGCTCCGGTTCAGCTCCTTGGCATCACCTTCGAGCCGTCCGCACAAAGAGCCGGGGCCTTCGAGCGGGTGGATGTTCCTTCGACAATTCTGAGTCTGAAGTCGCTCCTTGCACTCACCGCTTCGGTACTCGTCCCCAGGCACGGTTAAGAACAGGAGAAGCAGAAGCTTAAAACTCACGATTACAGCCTGCCCTTCAATTGACATTGAGATCAACAACGCTTAAAAGGGCTTAAAATGCAACGCTGCAACCTGCAAGCCCGATTTTAACCTCACCGGGAAAGAGCAGCTCCCCCAATGACCTCACGTTTAGATCCCTCTAAGCGCATCCACACGCACGTTCACTCTAGAACTGGAGCTGTCGCTGTCAGACAGCCCCTGAGCTCTCGCTCTCATTGGAGCCGATTTAGGTTAAACATGTAAAACGCAGCTGAGGTTACAGAAAACATTACCATAACTGGGTTTTATCTGTATTTGCACCCACCACCTTAGTTACACGTTTGTGCCAATTGCAGTCACTGTTCTGCACGGCGCCTTGCCCGCAGGCGCGTGAAGACGCCCTGAACGGTGAATGTCCAACAGACGTTTATCAACGAAGAGACTGAAACGAGATTAACCCACGGACCCCCAGCAACGGGCTCCTAAGGGCAGAGGGATGCGCAAAGAGGCCTCTGCCAGCGGTGCTGTGACGTGCCCACCCTCAGAGCGAGAAGACCCAACCCGTGAACCGCCCGCCCCTGCCGTGGCCCTACGCCGAAGGGGCAGACGAAGCAAAACTGGT